GACAGAGTAAGACTCCAACTCAAAAAAAAAAAAGAAAAGAAAGGAAATGTAGTAGTGGATAAAGGCATTAATAGTTTCCATCTACCAGGCCCCTAATATGTGCCTGATAATACAAAAGCTGTTTTACTTATGCTATTTTATTTATTTTTGAGTGAGGGTCTCTGTTGCCCAGGCTGGAGTGCAGTGGCATGATCACAGCTTCCCACAGCCTCAACCTCCTGGGCTCAGGTGATCCTCCCACTTCAGCTCCTGAGTAGCTGGGACTACAGGTACACGCCACCATGCCCAGTAATTTTTTTTCATTTTTATTTTAAAGATGTGAGGCACAATTCAAGATTAGGTACGTAAGTGGTCATCATACAGGTAAAGTTTAGGCCTCCCTTTGGTCCCCCCTTCACCTGGTTTAAGATCAGGTACCCTTATTGATGTTTTTTTTTTTTTTTTGAGTTGGAGTCTCACTCTGTCGCCCAGACTAGAGTGCAGTGGCCGCTCCCGGCCACCGCAGCCTCAACCTACTGGGCTCCGGTATCCTTCTGCCTCAGTCTTCCGAGCAGCCGGAATTAAAGGTGTGCGCTACCACGCCCGGCTAATTTTTTGATTTATTGTAGAGATGAGGTCTCGCCTGCCCAGGCGGGTCTCGAACCCGCGGGCTCAGGCAAGCCACTCACCTCAGCCTCCCAAAGTGCGGGATTACAGGCTGAGCCACCGAGCCCGGCTAGTTTTTTTTTTAAACTATAGTCCGCCCCTCAAACGGTCTGAGGGACAGTGAACACGGCCCCCTGTTTTAAAAGTTTGAGGACCCCTGACCTAGAAGCACAGAGAAGGAGCGGCTGAGGAGGCTCTGCCTGGTTCTGGGGTCCCTGTCACCGCCTGGGCGGCAAGAGGGAGCTGCAGGCCACCTTCCACAAGGAGTCCCCGCAAGAATTCCCAGCTCACAGCTCACTCCAGTGTTCGCCTCTTCAAAGATGCCCAGCAAGAAGGAAAAGAAAGGGCCTTGTTTTAACCTTTCTCTAACTTTCACTTAGAACCGCTCGTAATAAAGGTCACAAGGTGTTTTAAGAACCCGCGCATGGTAAATGCTCAGTGAAGTTCGCGATGGTTATCGTTATCCTTTGATGAAATAGCAGCAGAGGTCGTGACACTTCTGCCCTCGGAAATTCTGACTTTACATGACTTCACGTGAATGCTTTTTCCATATTCCAGTTGGAAAAGCTTACCTCTTGCAAATGAGACTCCTTCTTCTTTGCAGACAAATTTAAATGCTTTTCAAGGATGGAGTAGTATTTTTCACTCTCCTTGTCAAATTTCTTCTTTCCATCCTAAGGGATGACAATAACGACAAAAAGGATTCAAGTCAGAGAATCCAGAAAACCCTCTTTTCGCCCTCCTCATCAGAAGCCCCACACAACTGCTGAATAAAGGTGCAGTGAGAGTCCCAGCGCAGGGCTAAACCTTCCTTTAGCGGCGCAGGAAGAAGGAAGTGGCACGAGGCATTTGAGCGCGTGCTCTGCTCTCAGAGAAGCTTTCCACCCTGCGGGGGCCACGCGTATGCACACCCCACGGCCAGGCAAAAGCCCTCTGGAGGAAATGGAAAGGTACTGTGGGAGGGGACCAGGCTGGCTACGGCCACGTCCTCCGAGAGCTTCCTAGTTGATTCCCAGCATGAGATCCTGATCCAGTGGGAGTCAACCAAGAGAAAAATGACTTTGTGAGGCTGTTTGGTGATTTGGATGAGTTAACATAGAACGAGTCCAGGGAGCCACTCACAGAGACTCTGTTCACAGAATCGTATTGTTTCCCAGCCACAAAAGACACCTGATATTTCCAGCAGCTCGTTCTTGACATGGATGAAAATAGACTTTTAAACCTGGTAGCTTCAAACAAGTAAATAAGAAAGTTCAAAATCAAACAAATCACAAGGAGTAACAACCTGATCTGTATATGCTGAACAGAACTCTAATTACTGATCTTTATTCCTGAAATGCTGGAGTTTTGGGGAGAGCGGGGAGGGGGAGTCGCTGCAAACAGGCTGACCTTTTTATGACTTATTTTTATTTATTTATGTATTTGCCTTTTTGAGCCTGAGTCTTACTCTCTTGCTCAGGCTGGGGTGCGGTGGCAGGCTTACGGCTCACCTGGGACGACAGGCAAGCACCAACACACTCAGCTAATTTTTCTGAGTTTTTTCTAGAGACGAGGTCTTGGTGTGTTGTCCAGGCTGGTCTCGAACTCCTGGGCTCAAGCAATCCTCCTGCCTTGGCCTCCCAAAGTGCTGGGATAACAGGCCTATGCCACCATGCCCGGCCCAAGCTGACCTTTTATGAAGAAGGGGAATCACTGCCTTTTAATCTCTGCACGTGCTTCCATGGAAATGCAGGTGAAGTCTTACTGAGAGGGACAGAACATACCTAGCCATGTAATCTTCTCCAGCTACAAACACAGTCCCTACCAGGTATGCGTTTTCCAGTTGAGTCCATATGAGACAAATAATAAGTCACTGCACTCACACTTTAGGTTGGCAAAGGGCTGTTCCTTCCTTTTAGTTCAGTGTTTCTGGAATTGCAAACTCTGGATCACCTGAATCAGTGTCAGGTTTTTCTAAGTTTGTTCAAAATGCAGATGCCCATTTTCCTCCACCCAGAGATTCTAGAACTGCTGTTTTTTAACAAGTTCTATCATTATTATGCATAATGCTTTGTGTCTTGCATCAATAGGGAAGGGGTTACTTAAAAATAATGGATGGATGGATGGAGAGGTGGGTGGATGGTTGTTAGATGGGTGGGCGGATGGATGGATGGATGGGTAGAGGAAAAGAGGAAGAGAAAAAGGAGAGAAAGGAAGCAGAAGGGGAGAAGAAAGATCTCTGGAATAGGCATAGGTTTCCCGCTCTTCTGAAGTTATCAGACCAGGTTGACCTCTCAGGTAATGCCATTTTGATCCACTGGCACTGCAAACTTTCTTCTCAATTCTAATTCCAGGAACTCATCATCACCTTTTTCCATGTGCGGAATTTTGGAAAGGGGGCTGGTAAAATTAAGTTGAAAGAGAGTGCTGTGCTTTAAGAGTTCAAGTCCCTGTTAGACCATGTGAGAAGTACTGAGATGTTTGTACTAGGTGTTATCTCTGTAGACGAGGGTGAAAAGAGTCAAAATTCTCAGAGAATTTTTATTACCTAAGGAGGATATGTGACCCTGCAAGGAGAAACACGGCTGGAAAGTAAGTGAAGCATCTCTCAAAAAAGGCGTGTCGAGGAACCCACAGAACGCAGAGCGTCAGAGCCAAAGAGAGCCGGAAAGCCTGAGGCTTGGGCTAGGAGGGGCCTGTCCTCTCCTCTGTTGGAACAAACACCCAGGTGCACATTTCATCTCATGACCCGTAGACATGACTCTCTGACCTGGCATTTCATGCCCACAGCTGGCCTGCAGCCTGTCTTCCCTGTCAATCTCACGAGCACTTCCTGAGTTTTTGATTCAAGCGTTCTTCCCTTTTTCTCTCCGGGCCGTTCCCTCTGACACAAACGCTTACTTCTTACCATTTCCACACATTCAACTTATATCTCCCCTTAACATCCAGCTCAGATGAGCCGCTGTCAACTCTTTCCCCTGTGAGTGTCCGTATAGCGTTACATATGGGTCTCATGGCACTCACAATCCCCTTCGAGTGGAGATTTTGGGTCTCCTCCCTCCACCTCCATGGACCTTAACATCAAATATCTACTGACTACAAATATGTAATGAGCAAGTAAAATTCTTCCTCTTCCAGAGATGGCCACCACAGTCCCTCAGGGACATTCTATGTGTTTGATGGAATAAGCGAAATCAGTTAATAAAATCAAATTGCTAACAAAGTAGTAATATTAACCAGCTTACTCCATTTTGTTTAAAAATCATCTTAGTGACCTGCCTGACCTAAGAATCAATGACTACGTGTGATGACAGCAGCGTTTCCATGACCACAGACCCCCAGCTTTGCCTCCTTTGGGCAGGTTGGGCAGGTTATGCTGACTGTTGCCTGCTGACCATTCCAGAACTCCTTTGCCATAAGTTCCATGTGATCGTGTGCTTTGTTAACTGAAATCAAGTGTTACGCTTTGATATTTTCATAGTTGGTTCTTATATTGTTAGTAACCTAACCAAGGTAACTCCATCGTATAAGGATTCCTCTTCCTTGTCTCTATGTAACTACCTTAAGCTATAACTTAATGGCAGAACTCCAGGGGCTTTCTGGGCACTGGCCAGACCTAGGACATGAAATTCATCAAAGCTCCCTGACAATCGAGGTTCCCATTTTGGTTGCCAAGTTGTTAGCGAACAGTTGCTATGGTCACTAAGTTGCTATGTAGCCAATGCTAAAAATTTTAACTATAAAAGCGTGTCACAAACTGCACCAATTTGCCAAGAGTTTTTCTGGCGTTTGCGTACTCTTGACCCGTGCGTTTAATGAATCCATAATTAATTTAACTCTGCTTGCTGGCGTAGCTTCTTCTCGCTTACTCGGTCATAACATAACAAACTGTTATCCACGGTACAAGGGACAATGTCTACAAATGACCCCAACTCAAACCCAGGGGCACGTGACTCTATGTAGGCGGCCAACTGCGTCACAGGGGGCATAAAACTGACTCCCTTTCATCTTCCAGCAGAGGCTTCTCATTTCTCACTGTGCATAGAAAAGGAAGAAGCAGACTGCAGAAGAGAGCACATCTGTGGTGACGACACTGGTGTCTTTGTTTTCAGTTCGTGTTCAGTGACATTTCTGGAAATGTCAACCCGGTGCCAACCCATCGGCATTTTTGGCAGCACAAAAATCATTCCCAGAACCACTTCCTAGACTCTCACTCAAACCAGGTCCCTTCACACCACCAGCTCAGCAAAAAAAAAAAACAACAAAAAAAAACAAAGTTCATCTCAAAGGTTCTAATGATGCAGACAATAAAACCACACTCAGTCCGAGCATAAAATTAAAGAGCTTAGATGAAAGACGAGGCCACACGAAGGATGACTATAATCGAGGGAAGTGTGTGCTGGAAAACAAAGAGCACGGATGCACTGTTTCTCGCAACTCACATCTCCCCAAAAGGCTTGATTTACAGCTCACAGAGGCCAAGGCTTACTGGGACTGAGTCATGTCGCCCCATCCAGCTACCTCTTGTCGTTTGTGTTACTTGTCGTGGACATCACACTAAGAATTTACTCTGATTCACACACACACAAAGAAGACGATGCGTTAGAATTGTGTATTTTCTGTCAGTCCACAGTCAGAACATTTGAATTAAGTAGTCGTCTGTTTTTTTTACTTTTTATTTTTTTGAGTCGGAGTCTCACTCTGTCGCCCAGGCTGGAGTGCGGTGGCATGCTCACGGCCACCGCGGCCTCGACCAGCTGGGCTCCGGCGATCCTTCCGCCTCAGCCTTCCAAGTAGCTGGAACTACAGGCGCGCGCTACCACACCTGGCTAATTTTTTGAATTATTGTAAAGACAAGGTCTCGTCATGCTGCCCAGGCGGGTCACAAACCCCTGGGTCCAGGCAGTCCTCTCGCCTCTGCCTCGCAAAGTGCTGGAATGACAAGCGTGAGCCACCACGCCCAGCGCAGGTAATCGTTTGAAATAAAATAATAATCCTCTTGATGGAAAGAAGAGGAGTGAGGCAGAAGAGGCCGTCTTACAAGATGATGAACATGTACAAAGCAGAAGGACCGTTTTTAGCATCACAGATGCTGCAGTGACTAGATGTCTGTGTAGACAAAGACAGAGAGAGAGAGACAGATGCAGAGACAGACAAAAGATGGTACAAAGTGGATCATCAAACACAGCAAATGAGCCTCTAAGCCCAATTACAGCTGGTGAGAGAGAAGCTATGTGGAGGTCTGCACTCGGGTGGTTTTCCAGAACACTGTGTATGCTCTGAGAATAGTGCTCATGTTATCACCAAAGAACCGTGGTCATGCCACACGTGTGTTCTGCAGAATGAACTGAGAAAACCATGACAGCACACACTCCACACTCCAAGTGTCAACTTTACTCTTAGAACAGTGGTTTCTAATTTTTAAAAAAGTGTCAAACGTTTTGGCAAATTTATTGATCATAATAAAAAAATTTGCCAAATATTTGTCATGCAGATAATATTTATCATGCACATAAAAATACAAGGGGGACCCAAAAAACCTGGGATTTATTTTTTTTAAACTGTGTATTGATTCTTACATGTTTAAACTTCAGTCATCTTCAAAGTCCTCTTCCCATTTGATGCAATGCACCATCTATTGAGATGCTTTTTCCACTGCTCGAAACAGTTTTTTAACTCATCAGTGCTGATATTTTTTAGTGCTTCTGCCGTTTTTTTTTTTGAGTTGGAGTCTCACTCTGTCACCCAGACTGGAGTGCAGCAGCCGCTCCCGGCCACCGCAGCCTCGACCTGCTGGGCTCCGGCGATCCTCCCGCCTCAGCCTTCCGAGTAGCGGGAACTACAGGCGCGCGCTGCCACGCCCGGCTGATTTTTTGATTTATGGTAGAGATGAGGTCTCGCTGCCCAGGCGGGTCTCGAACCCGCGGGCTCAGGCAATCCGCTCACCTCAGCCTCCCAAAGGCACGGGATGACAGGCTGAGCCACGGAGCCCGGCTGCTTCTGCCGTTTTTTTTGTTTCACTTCTTCCACACTGGCAAAACATTTCCCTCTGAGGACTCTTTTCATGGGGGGAGGGGAGAAAAAGTCGCTGGGGCAAGACCCCGTGAATAGTGAGGGTGGGGCGCAGGGACCATGCCCTTTTTGGTCAGAAACTGCTGAACACTTAGTGCAGTGTGGCCAGGTGGGCTCAGAAATCCCCCATCGTGAAATGGGCAAACTCGTTGAAACAATCTCCACCCACACACAACATTCACTGAAGTTGAATGCAGGCTCTCATAACAAGACTAGTTGGTCCACTGAGGCCCATGGGTTCCTAGAACACCTTACCTAGTGGGGGAAGCCTGTACCATGAGGGGCCTGACCTCCAAAAATTAATTCCTATTTTGTGGGGGTCCCCCCTCCTATATTAAAAGGCAGACTATTGTTTAAAAAACAGGGCCAACACAATGCCTTCCGCTGACCACAATAGGGTACCAAAGAGGAAGAAAAGACTTTACCACCACCCTTAGGAAATCGCAAATAGAAATTATCAAAACTTTACCTAATCATATGTTTTCCTATCAAAGACTACTACAAAGTTTCGTAATATTTGCTTAGCCACCTTTACTTTAATATTACTGTAAGTTTTTAAAAATTAATTGCGTGGATAAATATTTCTGTATTTCTTTTTTTTAAAGCCATGTATTTAGAACTTATTCACCACATTTTTAAGATTGTCTCAATGTTATAATTGCCACACAGGATATTGTGAAATTTCCCAAGCGACTATTTACATCATCATGTGGGTATAACCATTATCCAAATAAGCTCTATTTGTATATTTTGGAAAATCCTTCCAATTCATACATAACGTTAGAAACAATAATAAAAACAGTAAAAATAAATACCAACTGCTAAGTTGCTATTTTAAGAACATGAAGGATTCATATAAATTGTCACCGTGCTAGGCCCTGAAAACACAGGAGAGGATATGGTGTCGCCCCCACAACCACCCTGGATTGTCCTTTCACCTCTTCTGATGCTGGGGCACTCCGATCTCCGATTCCTAGGGGGCCCCGCTGCCAGCACAGTCAGTCACACACTGCTTGGGAGTTTGCTGAGGCCCAAGGGATCCTGGCATCCAGAAGCCCAGCTTGTTGAGACGCTCAGTGTAGCTGGTACAGCAATGTCCTTGCTGTGGGTGATTCCACCCACCGACGCCCAGACCCCCAGCTCCCACCAACTCCCCCATCCCACCAACTCCCACCAACTCCCCGTCCACAATCTGCTGAAATGCATCCCCAAAGGGTGGTATTTCCTGGGTGGCTACACCATCACAATTCACCACATTGTGTCCCTCTTCCCAATTGTGCCCCCACCACCACCAGGCAATCGGATTCACAGCAACCCAAGGATCTGCATTTGCATTTATAAGGAACTCCTGCCAACTGGACAGAGAGAGGCCAACAGATAAAAATACGCATCGAGGATATGAAGGAACCATACGCGGAAGAGGAAACCCTGAGTGTACCAGACGTGTGAAGAGTTGCTCCAATTCCTTCATGACTAGAGAAAGGCACATTAAACAATGAGATTATATCTGTGAGACACCACAAGTGTTAGAAAGCTGAGTGATGCCACGTGCTGAGTGCGTGAGGGGCCCTTGTGCACCACGGTGGGTGTGTGGAGGGCTGGCTTTCGGGGGGGGGTGTTGTACACCACGTGACGTGTGTGCCCCAAGAGCCAGCTTCTGGGACTGCCTCCCAAAGAGATGCTCACAGAAACGTCCATAAGGAAGCATGAATAAGGATATTCTTCGAGGTGTCACCTGTGGGAACAGAAAGTGAGCTGGATACTGGTCAGTGGATGCATAAATATGTTAGATGCAGACCCTGGAGTGCTTCACAGAAGGTAGAGGGAAACAATAAATGT